GTGGCCAGGACGCACAGGGGCGGGAGAGGCAGGGCCAGCAGAGAGGCAAGTCTGGGAGGACTTGCTGGAAGACGGAGGAGAGGAGACAGATCTTTCCAGACGCAGGAAACTGGATGTAGGAAGGCACCGGGCGCGAGACAGCAGCTGTTCCGGAACAGCGTGCTGAGGTCAGGGCTGGTGGAGGAGAGGCAGCCCCAAGTAGGGCAGCGGCGGGTGAGCCTGCTCCCAGCACTCAGGGCTCCGAAGGCCAGGAGAACACTACACGGCACCCTGGAGTCGCCGGGAGCCCTTAGTGATTTTATAGTTTGTATTTTGCAGAGCTGATGGTCACCAAGGACTTGGATTCAAGAAAGGAAGGAAGGAAGGAAGGAAGGAAGGAAGGAAGGAAGGAAGGAAGGAAGGAAGGAAGGAAGGAAGGAAGGAAGGAAGGGAAAAAAGAAAGAAAGAAAGAAAGAAAGAAAGAAAGAAAGAAAGAAAGAAAGAAAGAAAGAAAGAAAGAAAGAAAGAAAGAAAGAAAGAAAGAAAGAAAGAAAGAAAGAAAAGCCTAGACAGCAGCAGGAGGGAACCAGGCCCCTAATCTCGCTAGCAGACGTTGCAAAGTGGGGCCCGCTGGCCAGATCTGCTCCCAAAGCGTGTCCCATGTGGCCCATTCTGTATTTCTGAATTTTGGGAGATGGGTTGCCCATGTGTACAAGTTGGAAGATTTTTATGTTTAAAATTTGCGGCTCTCTGGAAATCTCAACCGCCCAGCTCCAGAACAGCCTGCCGGGTCACCTGCACGGCTCCCCGCTGGTCCCACACTGCACGTGCGGGAGGGTGCGACCCCCACTCTAGAAACCCTGGACGGAGAGAACCGACTGATGGAAGGCACACAGGCATGGGGAGGGGGCTGGGCGTGCTGCAGGGCTGAGGCTGGGGACCCGTGAGAGTACAGGCAGCCTCCCCTCGTCTCATCCCTGCCCCCCAACCACCCCGCTGGCATCCAGGCCCCCCGACTCCCCTTTGCGCCCTCCCGCCCGCCGGCGGCGGCACTATGTACCCGGGCTGCACCCTTTAACTTGGGCTTTCAGCAAAGGGAGCGAGGCCGCCCGAGCCGGAGGTGACCTCGAGGCCTCGGTGCCCCGCGTCTTCCCCGGTTTTGCAGGCTCTCTGGAAGGGAGAAAGGAAAGGTGACAGGATGGACAGACAGACAAAGGACAGGCGGGATGGATGGCTGCGCGACCGCATGTGGGGGGGGGGGTCACAGACAGGCTCCGCCTCACAGTCTGGGGCCGTCTGGTCCCTCGGGGGCCAGGCATCTGCGCCAGGTGACCCTCTCCAACCTCGTTCTCTCCCCCTCGAGGGCTCTGACCTAAAAAACACCGCGGTAGGAGGCGAGAGGGAGCGCGCCCGCGGGCGCTAGGACCCGGCGCGGCCGGAAGGCGGGGTGCGGGCGGCCGAGCGGAGAATCTGCGCCGGGCGGCGGGCGCGCGCGCGGGGCGGACAAAGGGGCGGGCGGCGGCGGCGCGCGAGCCGGAAGGCGGAGCCGCGAGCCGGGCGGGCAGGTGCGCGCGGGCCGGAGGGCGGAGCCGCCATGCCGCGATGGAGCGCAGCCCGGGCGGGCGCCGGGGCCGGGGCCCGAGCGCCGGGCGCAGCGCGAGCCGGAGCCGCAGCCACAGCCCGGGCCAGGCCGGGGTCCGGGAGCGCAGGGCCGGGCTGCTCGTAGCGGCGGCGACGGAGCCCCCCAGCGGCTGAGGGGCTTCCTCCCAGCTCCCGTTGGTGGCCGGGACGCAGCAAGCCCCCGCAGCCCCGGGGAGGTCGGGGACCCCCCCTCCTCCCGCCGCCACCACCTCCAGGATCCAGCGAACCCCAGGAAAGCGAGGGGCACCCCCCCGGATCGAGCACAGAGAGACTCCCCAGCGGGGAAGAGCGGAGGCTTCCCGTGTGTTCGGAAGACAGCGACCCCCCTACGGTACTGCAAAGACTCCCCATCTTCCAGCTGAGCCCCCCCAAGACCTGGAACGCAGTGTTCCCCCGGCCAGTGGTTGCGGGAACCCCCCACCCAAGAACCAGGT